GGGGGGGGGGGGGGGGCGTCATCCATAGCTCAACATGTCACAATATCAGTTATGGTCCTGTATGTGTGTACCATGTGTAATGCATGATTTTAATACCCAGAGTTACTGTTATTATTTGTAATTGCCTGTATATATTCTTTATATCTAGTATAGAATGTTTGACATGTTTGTCCTGTGTATTTTAGTGGAGAGTCCAAGCATCTCATTTGGTAAATGCCACTTCTTTACATATTTGTCTCTTGTGAATGAAGTTTTACTGTGTTTTTATCCTGTTTCGTTTTCAGAAGGCTATTTTTATGTTTTTTTAGAGTTTTGTAATTTTATTTGCTTTTTTACCACTATATGTGAAAGTGGCTCATTTTATTTTTCAGTATTGTGAATTGGTGTTTAAATTTTGTTCACGTGTGTGTTAATGTGCTTTGTGGCTTGGTTTATATTATGTTTATTGTGAATACAGGAATAAAAAGTAACCACAATGCAACAGGATGCTACAGTACAATATTACTCATTGTAAATTCAGCAATGAATTTAAGTAACTGAGACCATTTTGAGATGCTGCCGGTTGTGCAGCTACTCAAGAGCTTCCCAACATTTCATGGACAACAGTTCATTACTGTGTTCACAAGAGCCCTCCACTGACCCCCTATTCTAAGCCAGATAAATCCAGTCCATATCACCCCGTACTGTCTCTCTATAAGATCCAGTTTGATATTGTCCACCCATCTACATCTTGGTCTTACTAGTGGTCTCTTTCCTTCTGGCTTTCCCACCAATATCCTATATGTATTCCTGTTCGCCCAATTCATGCTACATGCCCTGCCCATCTCATTGTCCTTCACTTGATCATTCTAATTATACTTGGCCAAGAGTACAAGTTATGAAGCTCCTCATTATGCAGTTTTCTCCAGTCTTCTGTGACTTCATCTCTCATCGGTCCAAATATTCCTCAGCAGCCGGTTATCAAATACCCTCAGTCTGTGTTCCTCCTTTATGTCAGAGACCAAGTTTCACACCCATACAGAACCACAGGCAAAATTATAGTTTGTATATTCTAATTTTTATGTTTTAGACAGCAGACAAGAAGACAAAAGGCAAGCATTACCCAAATTAAATCTCCTCTTAATTTCCCCCTGAGTGAGGTTTTGATTTGTTACGATCATTCCAGATATCTGAACTGTGGCACATTTTCATAACATCTGTTGCCTTTCTTTATGTTATGATTTTGCCGTGCATTTTGGTGACAAGACAGCAACATATACATAGTTTTCTCTGTGTTTACTTCTAGACCAACCTCCTTACTAGCATCAGTTAAAGTTTCTATGTTTTTCTTTATGGTATATGTGTTATATCTCAACAGATTAAAATCATCAGCATAGAACAGCAGCTGATTTGTCCCATTTAATTTCAGTCCCACTTGGTTTTTCTGGACCTTCCTAATGGCATATTGTAAAGCAAAGTTAAATGCAGTGGCAATAAGGCATCTCCTTGTTTTAGACCATTCTGGATAGGAAAGTTATCAGACAAATATTTACATATACAGATTTTAATATACATTTTATTTAAACACGTTTTAAACAGCCTCACTAGTTTCATAGGTTCCCCAAACTTTATGAGAGTATTGTACAATACTTGCTTCCTAACTTTCTTGTAGTCTATGAATAGCTGATATACTGTCTCATTGTACTCTTGGTTTTCTCCAGTATCTGATGAATGTAAAAAATTTGATCAGTGGTTGATCTGTTGCATCAAAACCCACCCTGATGATCTCCAATAATTTAATCTATATATGGACTTAACCTTGAGGAAGGGATTTTTTTTTTAATTGCTAGTGGGGTGGGACTAAATCCCTTGCACTGCGGTCACTTCTGGCCTATTACCAGCCCCAGATGATAGGTGAGGTTGATTGTGGGGCAATTGGTGGAATGAAGATTGGCAGGGGAAAACGAAGTACTCGGAGAAACCTGCCCCAGCGCCATTTTGTCCACCACAAATCCCACTTGACCAGACCCGGAATCGAACCCGGGCCACCACGGTTGGAAGCCAGTGACTAACCGCTTGAGCTATAGCGCGTTGGGGAAAGGATACTGGATAAAATTCTGTATGAAGTTGACAGCAATGATATTCCACAATAATTACTACAGTCAGTTTAATCACCTTTCTTCTGAACTGGTACAATAATAGACTCCTTCCATTGATCAGGCAATTCTTCCTTATTCAAAATAGAATTAATGAGTTTGTGGATCTCAGACTGTAATGTTTCATGTCCTGGTTGAATGAGTTCTGCCTGGCGATTAATACCTTTTCAACTTTGCAGTAGCAATTTCAGCCTCAGAAGGACTAGACTCAATGGGTTTACAGAAGTTGAAACAAATAAAAATACATGTGGGTGTTTTAATATAAGTTTGTTTGACTGTTAATTTCAAACTTTGAAGTATGTGTTGGATGTGTACCATAGTACCTCCATCTTCCGATCTTCAGGGTCTCTAACCGTGAAAATGGAAGAATCACATTTTTCCAAAATGTCAGTAAGCATGTGCTAGACTACACAATGTCTCATCCCAGTACATTAATCTTCAATATTACTGCTGTGAGAACCTTAGACTTGTGATGTTCTTTTATTAACTGTAGGTGGTAAAGATCTACACTTCGAGAAGAAGAGAATGGACAAGTGCAACATACTTATATGTACCCCAGGCAGACTGTTGCAGCACATGGATGAAAACCCACTGTTTGACTGCAGTAACATGCAGGTAAGGAAGACTGTAATTGAATTGTCACATTGAAGCTTTAACTCTTCCATATGTTAGAATTCAAATCCCAGCCTTTGACATGCTGCAGGAGGTGTTTCGATTGGGGATTTGTATGCAGACAAGCCAAATAACACTGGGTCCATAATTTCCTCATCGTGAGGCTCATATTTACTGTCTTATTTCTAAGGAAGAACATTCATTTGAAATATCATCAGTATTTGCACTTGATAAACATTTCCTAGCTGACAAAATTCCTGCTAACAGTTTATTTACAGTCGACATTTTCAAAGTAATTTAGTCCAAGAAAAATTGATACATCCAGTTGATACACCAAACTATAGGATATGTGTATACATATGCATAAGAATATGCAGGCAGAATTCATGTGGTTCAAACACTCCTCTAGAGATGGAAACACAAAGCATGAACAGTCATCTGTTAGCAGTGCTAGCACTCCACAGAGATGGGTTAATGTGACAGTTTCATGATTTACAGTAAAATTAATTAGGGTATAATTTTATGGTATGGTGAGCCGTTACTGACATTTCTTTGAATAGCGGCTACCACGCTCCATCTGTCTTTGTCCTTCCTCTAGAGACACATGTGAATGGTGCTGCTTTTATCCCTCTGGTTCTTTTGATATAGTTCACAACGCTCCCTAGGTGACATGAGGCTCGCACAACAACAGGCATACAGAGAGTGGGAGTACAATAAAACTTAGTATAGGATGGTAGAGACTCAAGTCTCACACTTCTCCCCCCAAGTTACTGCTACTAAATGAAAGAATTACATTTTCAATAAAAAATTAATAAAAATAAAAGAACACATAATATGAAATAATACACAACAGACATGGTTTAGCCAAAGTAATGGGAAAATTATGGGGATTAAGGAATGTAAAACAACTCTGGCCAGAAGACCAATTAAACAGCATTGCAAAGATAAACGGCCCTTTACAACAAGACACTCCTTAGGGGAGCAGGTACACAAGATACAAGTAGTGACTCAATATCAGAAAAACATGTGAAACCTTTGTGTAAAGACAACACAATTTGCATGAAACAGTCATGTGTAACAAATACCACATGTGACAACACTTTGTCACAAACAGACATTGGTTTCTGCAGGGCACGTTCTTGTCTTTGTGAAACCAAAACACAGGCTCACCATATACCTCAGCATACAGGGCATACAATAACAATGTAATCCATAGGTTAACAAACAACACCCATACAGCCTACATTCCACAAAACAAGAAGAACATGCTCACACAGAACTTACTTCGCCTTGTGCAAGGGAGGCTTTCGTTAAATACTGTCATGTGTCTGGGGTTCTGTAACAAATAATTAATGGGTTACGCCTTTAGATGATGCTGTTTATTGGAGAATTACTTGTTTACACTCACAATTACAATCTCACTCAAATAATGCCCTTTCAGATGAAGCGACCTGATTAGTCCATCATCTCTCGTGTTTCCTCTTCAACGGTTATACTCTTGCACTGCTATTCTCGGTGGAGTGTCTTTGCTCTTGGTTCTTTTCTTATCTCTCGTCAGATCTGAACTGTCCTGTTGCAATCTACCCTCTTCTTAGCGTACCGCTGAGAGAACACCTTGTCGAAGGGTTCTGTTTCCCATGTTAGCTAGAATATTCATTGGTGGGTCTATTTGTTGCCTAGGAATTGCTAGCTGTTGACTAGCAATAGGCACTGGTTGTCAGCGCAATGTCTTGACCGTCTTGACAGTGCGTTACCTAGGAAGTGACATTTCTGTATGCAGTGGGTTCACCTGTCACAATATAGAATATTGATGAAAGTTCATTTGATATCAGATACTACACTGGGTGAACTAAACTTAATTTAGTCATGCGCACAACCGCAAGTATCAAAATGGCCCTAGACAGAGTTTTAGGTAAGTCCTTCCTGTATAACATCTGAAATTAAAGAGAATGTGTAAAAATAAGCATGGATCCAAGCTGGCTATCGCGGAAGTTGAATGGGAAAGGTGATTGGGCATCTGAGTCATGAAACCCCACAACAACATACACAGGAATGAAGGGGGGTGGGGAGATGTCATGGAAATGGCACAGAAGAAAGTTACAGAACATATGACATGGCTGTAGACTTTGCTGGCATGGTATTTTACTGAGTTACAGTTCACTAATATGTGGATGAAACTGTACTGGCAAAGTTAAATAAGTTTGCTTATACTTAGATGATCATATTGTAGGCATACTTAACAAAACCATATTCTATAACAGGTTAGATAATGTAATTAAATTTACCGTACATTCACCTTGAGAATAAATAAAATGTAAATTATATATAGTCTAAAAGGGTTGTTCAAGGTTAACCTGATTTTTTCCCCCTGAAAACATAGGCACCAGAGGAATACAACTGTTGTATGGACAGTGGCAACACTGCACTCATTGCCTGGCAGGTGACCATGTGCCCTGCTTCTGCATGTTAGAGCTAGTTCAAGATGGCATCAGAACTTGTCACTCCTAGTGTAGAACAGTGCTGTATCATTAAACTCCTAGTGAAAGAAAAATTGAACTCAGCAGAAATTCTTCATAGGTTAAATGCACAGTATGGGGAAGAGACCCTGTTACCTGCAAGTTTGGTACAGTACGTTTCCCGATGGCTGCAAAGAAGTTCAGCACACAGCTGTCAGCTAGCAAGATCATGGCAGGTGTGTTTTGGGATTCAGAAGGAGTGACTCATGTTGATTTTCTTCCACATGGTGTAACAATTAGTGTACATCATTGCAATCATTTGCCTTGTACTGGTGTGTGCCAAGTGATTCAGAAGAGAAGACTTAGGAGACTGTCAAAGAAGATCGTCCTAATGCATGACAGTGCTTGTCAGCATATGACAAATTTGATGTTGGTGTCATAGCAACAGTGGGCTGGGAAAGCATGCACCAGTATACTCACATCCCACAGTGATTTTCATTTGTTTGGACCAATGAAGATGCATGCAGGAGGATACATTTCAAACTGATGATGAACTCAAACTCAGTGTTGTGAACTCTCTAAACAATCACGCACCAGTAAGTTGTCAGGGCACTGTAAAAATGTGTTGATATAAATGGAGAATATCTTGAAAATGAGTGATATATATATATATATATATATGATATATTTACAGTAAAACAACTAATACCACAGACCAAGGAAGCATTGAACCACCAAGTAGACATGTGAGCTCAACATATTTGTTTCAAAAAGTACTTTTTGTAAGCAAAGGGATGCCATCTGGGTGCAGAACTACGAAATAGACCTTGGAGAATTATGTACCATCTTGTGCTGCCACTGAGCCATTTATGTAACTAAAAGAGCATGATCTAAATGGAGCTGATAAATTGGCCACCTGAGTGTTCTGGCTGTTCTGGCCACCTGATATGCTGATGGATTGACATGAGTGTATGAGGGTTAAGAATATACTAGTTCTTAATTATTCATCCTCACTGAAAAGTACCATGTAATTATAAATTTAAGGTCTTCTTTCACATAACATTTAATCTTTTGCTCTATTCTGATTACATTATACTTCCAATTATCCATGCTATTAAAGGGAGAAAGATGAATTAATAATCAAAAGCACATATAAGTGGGTGGTAATATTCGTGTATAAATGGAAGACCATGATTGTTCTTGAATATGGAAATTAAAAAATATATACATAGCATCTGATTTGTTTAATTATCTCATGCACTGTAGGAGTTGACACTACTGTGTCCATTCTCTGATATTCTAAACAACACAACATTTTGAAAACTGCATCTGTTTCCATCCTCAGGTGAGGGGATTGGAGACACCTACTCTGTTGGGTCTGTTAGAACCTCATTGTCTGGACAGCTTATGTCAGTATAACTACAGCTATGTATACACCTGAGAGAGAGAGAGATCAGAAGCCTACTTATTTTACTGAAGCAGATGAAAGTGCCTAAAAATTAGTTGTATCTGATGGTAACAGATTATATTTGATCAAAGGTATATTTTTTATTTGCCACTTATCTTGGGATTTCCTGTCCTCACAAATGGTCAGAAGTAGGACTTTGACTGTTTATCTGTGTAATAATACTTAAAAGTAATTTAATTTATTTTCATTAATGCATGTGTATTTTTTCCCCCAGATATTGGTACTGGATGAGGCAGATCGATGTTTAGACTTGGGGTTTGAAGCCACAATGAATAATATCATTGAAAATCTACCCCCAGAAAGGCAAACATTGCTATTTTCTGCAACCCAGACAAAGTAAGTTTAATAAGAAAGTAAGTATTAAAGGCACTCACAATTGGTGTGAAACCTTATAGGTTTCAGTAAAGGTAAAGTTGTCCCTGTGCTTAAGTAATCAAGCACTATCCCATGAAGACATATGGGGGAGTGGAGGTATAGCTCCACCATTCTTGACCACAGCACTAGATGGAAGTGAGTTGTCAGCTTCACACCATAGCTGCTTTACCCCAGGGGATATCACCCCCAATACCCATTGAACAGGAGGCTAGATCAGCCCTAGGGCAGGTCTGAATGTTGTGGAGAGGAGAAAAATCTTGCCCCTGCTGGGATTCAAACTCCAAACACCAGCCTGTAGTCTGTAGCTGTACCAACTGAGCTATCCTGACTCCCTGTAGGTTTCAGTACCAGTTATATTACGAAAGTTCCTGTTTATAACACATCCCTTCACAAAATTAACGTGACTGATTATAATTTAATTTTTATAATCATCATCATCATTCCAGATTATTTTGCATGGTCGCTACTTTATTATTGTCTGTTTTCCAAATAAATAAATAAACTTAATAAGAACTACATACTATAGCATTTATAATGTTTCAGAACAGTTGTTGTGTGACTACCAGTAACCACTTGCAATCTTGATGTCAGTTTGTCTTGTACCCACTACTTGCATTTCATAGCATGTGTGAGTCTCTCACATGCTGTCATACATCTGCTTCAGGCACAGAATGGACTCAACTGCCTGTGCAGAGCTTTCACCACTGTGTTACATCCACAGTCATTCAAGAATCCTCTTGTGGGTTCTTGGCCAAACTTGCCCTGAAACAATTCAGAAGGGGGTGGAAAGGAGGCACATATGTATGTTCCTACACCTCTTGCCCTCAAACCATAGTTTTCGTTATCTATTACAGTACAGAATTTCAAGACTTCATTGAATGATACTGGTATTGTGCCCACCTCACAAGTTTGCATGACTGCCATGTTGGTATTGCTAAGGATAGAGTTACTGAGTATTGCAGTTGAGTGGGTAGCATGTCTGTTTCATATTCAAGAGGTCACAGATTCAAATCCTGTTCTGTAGAGTGGCTATCCTGTCTGAGACAGTCCTTACAGTCAAGTGTCAGGATAGTACCTGAGATCAGATTCATCCGTGACCACTTCCTTCAGCATCATTCCAGTTCATTGTTCATTAATCATCCTTTCATCCAATGCTGAGAGTGTTTCTGATTAAACCAAACCAAGGCAGGGATTTAAAAGGTACCACAATGGGGGTGCCTTCTAATGCCATGTTCTTTATAAACAGTTTTATGATAATTAGCTAGTAATTGTAATGTCAGTGTCTGTAGTTGAATTAAGGGGTAGTCAAACTGGATGCAGGCTGGATGTCTGGGATGGAGTTCTGGGTATGTTTAAGGATTTATCTTTTTCCTGCCATGTCTAGATTGATTCATGAATTCCCCAGTCTCCTGTACAGTGGATAATGATGGCTTTTTCCCTAGTAAGTAAAAGTAAAGCTATCCCTGTAACAGGCTATGAAGGCCCATAGGGTTGTGAGACGTTGAGGGCCCCACAGTATCGAGACAGTTGGCTCAAAGATGGCAGTAAGGTTGTCGGCCTTACACATCGGCCGCGCTTTACTTCCCAGGAAAATTATGTATTTAATTCCTGGTACTCATTTCTGTTAGAGGCTGAGTGAACCCCAGGGCCATAGTGCGGTTGGAAGGATTAGATCAATTGAAAAAATCCAACAATCTCACCGGGACTTGAACCCGCGACTTTCCGACTTGTAGCATAGTGCCTCAACCACTACGCCGGTGACCGGCCGGTCAAAGATAGCCTGGGCCTAAGGACACCGGGTGTATACAGTATCCCATGCAAGTGTGGCAAGGTCTATATTGGGCAGACAGGCCGCTCCGTGGATATGAGATTGAAAGAGCCATCTCAAACATCCAGACAAGTCAGCTGTAGCTGAACACAGCATCGATCTGGGACACCGTATTCAGCTTCAGAATACCTCCATCCTCACCACCAAGACCCAATACGAGGTGTGTTCAAAAAATGACGGGAATTTCCGTATTTTGGAAAAAATATTTATTCATTCGTCTACATTAATGTTGTCGCCTTCAAAATAGTCCCCATTCGATATTATGCACTTACGCCAGCGCTTCTTCCAATCATCGAAACACTTCTCAAACTCGATTTTTGGGATAGCCTTTAGCTCTTTCAGCGATGCGCTTTTAATGTCATCTATGCTTGTAAAACGACGGCCCTTTAAGGTTCTCTTTATTTTTGGAAATAGGAAAAAGTCACACGGAGCCATGTCTGGCGAATATGGAGGCTGGGGCATCGTTACAGTATTGTTTTTGGCCAAGAATTCACGAACAAGCAACGAAGTGTGAGCAGGTGCNGGTCTCTTCGCTTGCGGATTTCTTATATTTTTCCTTCTACCCTAAAGATGGAGGCGATACGTTCCTCCGAAACGTCGGTTAACACCACATATACACGGTGCCAAATCCCAGAATACTGCTTTCTTCATAGTCACCGCCGTGAAAACCTCAAATCTTACATGGATGCAATTTGATATAATATTTTAAGGAAGGTTGTGGCTCAAAAAGGGCCATTTTTGTTGTTGTTGTTGTTGTTGTTGTTGTTTCTGCTGCTGTTGCTGTTGATGATATGATGATGATGATGATGTACTCCTTTATCATATAGATCAGTTCGGGACTTGGCGAGACTTAGTCTTAAGGATCCCATGTATGTATCAGTGCATGAACACGCCAAACATAGTACACCAGAATCTCTGCGACAGAGTTACATTATCTGTAACCTTCATGATAAAATTAACATGTTGTGGTCCTTCATCAGGAATCATCTCAAACAGAAGATTCTTGTGTTTATGGCAAGTTGTAAGCAAGTAAGTACATTGCATGTAGTATACATTGTTTTCTTATCACTTCGAAGATTGGGCTATCTGGTCCATTACTGTTGGGCGCTTTTTCAAGATAAAATTTTAAATACTAAATCATGACTCCAAAATGTAATCCACATACCTGAATGACTGAAAGTTGCAGTGCAGAGGAATATTGAGGAAATATTTAGCAATACAGTGAGCCCTTGTGTTACAGACATTCAGGTTACAAAATTTTGGATAAATGTTACAGTTTTATTTTAAGAAATGGTTGATTGTTACAAAAATTCTTATTACATATGCATCAGTGACACAACAGGATATGTAGCTGTCCATTGGCTAGCCTATATATGAAAATGATATTAAAAGATGGTTGGTAGCATGGTTGCTATTCTTATCTCACTGTAGAATGTGCAATATACTACCTTTATTTAAGATGTCTGGAAAGAGGTTATCAAGTTTATGAGCCAGTAGTACACCCAAAGAGCATGGAAAGTGTACCACTCAGATGGGTAAAAAGTGTTTTTACAATTGTGAAATGAAATGAAAAAAGACTCTCCCTGAGTTCACATCTCCATTTGTACATTGAGATGCAATGGAAAAACAAGGTTTGTGTTATAGAATTTCATAATACAGACATATTTAAAAAAAATGTATCTTTTAAATAAGGCAGGGATTTGCTATGTTTCACTATTATTGAAGCATAATCTAGCTTTATTTATTTAACACAGCATGTGAGTTTCAAACATTCTTTTCCTGTTAGAATATCATTACTATTTCTGTTGTGATCCATAAAATTATTCTCAAAAACATTTTATTGTTCACAAATTTCATTCATATTTGAAATTAAAAATTTGTATATTTATAAATCCGAGAATTTTTTCTCTGTTAAAAAATTCAAAGAGACATCATCTTGCGACAGTGTACTGTATACTTCAGTTTTCAGTGAAGTGCAACAAATTTTGTAGACATTTGTGACCAGATTTGTGGTGACTAGAATGTTTTCTTTTTTTATAATGTTTGCAAGCTAAACAAAAGAAGCTTGATATTTCTAGCATATCTACTTTGTAGAAGCTGGCACTGAAAGGGTTAAGATCAGTTAAAGGATGGACTAGAATGAAGATATTAGGTAAAGTAGATGAACATGGAGAAAAGTGGATAAATGATTTGGACAGATGACTTCTGCAGTACAGAGGGAGATCGAGAAGTCACGCACATCACTCTAAGCAATTATATTTTGCTGGTTTAATGCACAAACTGCAAGACATACAGCACTTACTATTAATGTTTATAACTTTACATCTTAGAAATGCAAAATCAAATCATGTCTTTACAACATATGCTCGAAATGGCTTCCCTGTTCAACAATGCATGAGCGAGCTCTTTTTACAATGTTTGAGGCCACTTTCTGGAGTACCTGTAAACTGATGTTGTTAATCGCCGTTATAATGTTCCTCTTGAGGTCATCCAGTGTATGCGGATTGTTTTTACAGACAATTCCTTTGAGGTACCCCCAAAGGAAAAAATCTGCGGGTGACAAATCGGGTGAACGCGGGGGACACAATCCTTTCAAAATGAGATGGTCACCGAAAAACTTGTGCAAGAACTGCATTGTTTCATTAGATATGTGACATGTGGCAACGTCTTGCTGCAACCAACACTCACGTTCATCAACTTCAAGAAGCCCAATAAACTGTGTAATGATGTCTTGGTACACTGGACTGTTCACTGTTGTTTAAAAAAAATTGGGCCCACTATTCGACGATGTGATACAGCACACCACACTCCAATTTTCTGACAGTGTAATGGCTTTTCATGTGGATTTTCAAATGACCAAATCCTATTGTTTTGACTGTTCACGTGGCCACTAAGGTGAAACCACACTTCGTCAGTGAAGAAAACCTGATTAAACTCTGGCAAAATAATGTTCCACAATGAAAACTTGTTGTTCTTTGGAAAGCGACATGTCTGTCACGCAATAAACAAAGCTATACTGCAGACGTCGTATGACTGAAACACGGCAGATGGCATTTCTACTTGTTAGTACTCCTCCAGCACCATCTAGCAGTAGGAGATATAATTATATTAACTGCAGTACAATTTATAACAACTTTTAGTTTGATGTGCATGACTTTTCAGTCTCCCTGTATAAACGAAAAGGATGCCAAGACAGAAAGGACTTGGAAGAGATGGAATGAATGTGTGAAAATGCAACAGGTGGGTGCCTACAAGGTGTGGCAATAAAGAAACCGGATTCATGCTCTAACCCTTTATTAAAAAAAAATCAGACAGTCGAAATGTTATCCCCTTCAATGTAGTCCCCTCCCCGATCCCTACACCGCTCCATGCGAATTTTCCACTGTTGGAAGCAGTGCTGCAGGTCATCTTGTGTTATGCTCTTCAAGAGTTGCGTCGCTTTTGCTTTCACTGCATCCACGGACTCGAACCTGGTCCCTTTCAGCGCAGACTTGATTTTTGGGAAGAGAAAAAAGTCGCACGGTGCTAGGTCCGGAGAATACGGTGGATGTTCCATCACTGGAATGTTGTTTTTTGCCAAATACCTCTTCACAGATAGCGCGTTGTGTGCTGGCGCGTTGTCGTGATGAAGAACCCATGAGGCATTCTTCCACATGTCTGGTCTCCTTCGTCGCACACGTTCACGGAGGTACGTCAAAACATTTTTATAATAAACCTGATTGACAGTCTGACCTTCAGGCACCCAATCAATGTAGATTACCCCCCGGATATCGAAAAAAACAATCATCATTGCTTTGAATTTGGACTTGCTCATGCGCGCTTTCTTCTTCCTAGGGGATTTGGGGCTCTTCCAATGCATGGATTGTCGCTTAGTCTCTGGATCATATTGAAGAATCCAAGTTTCGTCACACGTAATTACGTTTTGGAAGAAATCAGGATCATTTTCAATGTTTTCAAGAGTGTCAACACAGCAATTCACTCGATGTTCCTTTTGCTGGGGGGTAAGGATTTTTGGCACCACTTTAGCACACACCTTTTTCATGCCCAGATCGTCGTGCAAAATCTGTCTAACACTTTCCTTATTGATGTTCGTAAGTTCAGAAATTGCTCGAATGCTCAGTCGACGATCTCTTCGAACAATTCTAGCGACCTTCTCCACATTCTCTGGAGTTTTCGCAGTGGGAGGACGGCCCGATTTTGGATCGTTCCCGACGTTTTTCCTACCCTCCATAAACTTCTTAAACCACTCGAAAACTTGCGTGCGAGATAGACACTGATCACCATATACTTCTGTCAACAAATTGTAAGTTTCAGTGGCAGATTTTCCAAGTTTTGTGAGGAATTTGATGTTAGCACGTTGTTCTGCATTAGCACTCAGCATTATTCCGACGGAGCTCAGAAACACGATCCGCTTCTAACAATGGTCGCGGCCAGACTAACCGATGCACGTGAATGAAACTTTGTGTGACGGTAGAGGGAAGTCCAAGGGTCAATGCCCTACCCTCCTCTTCATCAATGACGTGGCTGGAAATGAGTCATAAAAGTAATCCGGGTTCTTTATTGCCACACCTTGTATATTATGAAGTGAAGAAGATGAGGAGGGCCAGTGCATACTCTTTTGTGTGTGTGTGTGTGTGTGTGCACGCGCGTGAGCACATGCTCACATAAAGGGATAAAATGTTGTTTCTTTGCCTAAATTCTGAAATTTTACTAAATCATGACATATTTTTTCCCACTACATTCTTGTTCAGTGGGAGCTGGGATACTGCAGTCAGCTAGTGCCTAGGTCAAGAAAATGTGGATCTGTATACACACTCCTCATATGCCTTCATGGTGTAGTTATTAATTAATTAAGCAGAGGGACAACTTTACCTTTACATTTTACATCCTTGTTTAGTTGAATGTTAATTCTGTTTGTTATTTTAAGGTCAAATATGTTTATGAAATGTTCTGCCATCTGCGACCTGGCACCACCCTGCTGGCTCTCTATGGAACCCTGCATCAACTGAGGCGTATGGCTATCTATGAATCATTCTGTCGGAAATCAAATGCTGTCCTGTTTGCCACTGACATTGCAGCCAGAGGTTTAGGTACGTGAATCAGATGCTTCCGTTGCAAGCCAGTCAAGACTGGAGAGTTATGTTCCAAATTAAGAGTATTACAAGAGTACAGTGTTCTGCGATATGATGCCACATATTTCAGTAGATAAATACCAACATTTACAAGTAACCTACATCCTCCATCTACAAGAAAAAGGTAAAGTTGTCTGTATGCTTAACTAATTAAGCACTATGCCATGAAGGCATATAAGGGACTGGATGTATAGATCCACATTTTCTTGACCTCGGCACTAGCTGGAGGTGAGTGGTCAGCTTCACGCCCTGGCCATTTTACTCCCAGGGAAAGAGACCCCGGTACCCATTGGATAGGCAGTTGGGTGGACATCAAAACTGGTCTGGGCAACGTGGGGGAGAGAAAATTCTTGATCCTACCAGGACTTGAACCCAACCCCTTGGTTGTCCAGCCCGTAGTCAGTCACTATACCAACTACGCTATCCTGGCTGTTCCATCTACAGGATAGATGCACAATGTCACATCCAAGAAGAGTGTAGTCTTGACTCACCACCGCGATAAACTCAGTTTCCACACAGACTAAGACATGTCCCGTATTCCAGTGTGTTCTGTGTGATTTTGCATATTTTACTTTCCTTGATGCTTACTGTTGACTATTTCCACACACAGGCAGTGACACTTGCTTCACCAGTGTTGAACCAGCAGTACATTGAATTGGTTAGATACTTAAAATCTGAAAGAGAAGAACAAATGAGTGCAGAAGCCATTCCAGAATTTGACAGTGACCAACATTATTGCTAAGCTGTTCACATAACATGGAGCCATAAATTACTTTTATATTTTGATAAGATACATCAAATCACCATATTGAAATATTTCAATTTAAAGCTGTTGATTTTAATTCAGTGTGTATTTTGTGTCATGTGCAAACAAGTTCACACCTACTTTTGAGTTTATATAAAGTAGAAGTTATATTTGACTCACACAGATGAAAATGAAATGCATGTCACAACTTTTACATAGATTGCTGATGCCAAATTTCATTAAATTCTGGTCAGTAGTCTTGGATTTGTAATATGGACTAATGAACATGACTTTCCTTATATGCAGCTAGTACAAAGAATGCATATGTTTTTAATTTTAAGCATTTTGTCTTTATACAAGATTTTTAAACTTTGCAGACAGAATGATGTAACCTCTCACTGTGCAGTCATAGTAATGTGAACACTATTCTAAATGACTAAAACATTTCTCATCGGGTGATGGCTGTGAACACGGATTTTTTTTTTTTTGCAGATTTCCCAGAAGTGGACTGGGTTGTCCAATTAGATTGTCCAGAGGATGCAAATACTTACATTCACCGTGCTGGAAGGACAGCCAGATATCACAAAGGAGGAGAGTCCCTTCTTGTGTTGCTTCCATCAGAAGAACAATGTATGGTGGAAGAACTCAATGCAAAGAAGATACCTGTCAGTAAGATAAAGTAAGTACTTTGGCCTCATGAATTGATAAAAGGTCATATTACCCCTGTGGTCATGCAATATGCCATGAAGGCATAGAGGGTAGTAAGGTAAAGTGATACATATTTTAGATCTTCCCATGTCTTGGCCAAAAAGTGTGATAAAATATACAGAACTATAACTTTACCTGTTTTTTATGTATTTGTGAAATGTGGTTGCTTGCTTTAAGGGAAGAACATAGATTTGAGGGCATGCAAGAACAAATGACTGAAGGAAATATTTTGACCTAAGGAAAGAGGAGGAGCTTAATAATTTGTATCTTTCACCTAATGTTATTAGGGCCGTTATATCAGAGAGGATGAGATGGACAGGAAATGTAGCACACATGGTGAGTTGAGGAATGCATACATAATTTTTGTTGGAAAACTTCAAGGTACCACCTGGGAAACATAGGCATAAATATGAAGATAGGATTAAATCAGATCTTTAGAAAAAGAAGTTCTGGGAACAACTAATTGCCTACTTTCTGTTCATTAGAAATTGATCAGTGGCACAAAACTGTATTATATACACGTGTAAGTTAATAAAACAGTATAAACTGTGCAACATTTTATGATGATCAGTTCAGGCATTCAAGTAATATTATGATTATTGCCTCAACAATTTGAAAGGCTGCAGTGTTGGTATTACTGATCAGAGTGTCTTGTGAAGTAAGCCGTTGGGATGGGCTCAGGTGGCGTAATACACATACCAAGATTCATGAAGATTGGTGCAGGTATTCAAGCAATATTAAGATTTTGCCTCAGCAGCATTTGAGACTGTAATGTTTGTAATGCTGATGGGAGAGATTTATGAAGTGTGCTGCTGGTGAGATGGCCTCAGGTGGCATGATATACATACAAGGGTTGGATAAAAAGTAATGGCAACACTGCTCTAACATGAAAGATGTGCGTCAGGTGGCACTAGCGCCGCGTGTAGCTGATAGCAGAAGTTCAGTTGAAGTAGTGCAGTGAGTGGCTCTGGTTGTGTTTCATTGAGTTGCACTGTGCATCGTCTTGAAGTGCAGGAGCCCAGTTCAAGCACCCTAACAACATGTTTACAAAACAAGAACAATGCTCCTGGATAAAAATTGAAGTTGCACGAGGTCATAGTGCACAAAACTGTTATCAGGGACTGCGACAAGCATGTGGTGATGTTGCTTTGCCATATCGCACATTGGCATGATGGGTGAAATTGTTCTGTGAAGGAGGGATGCCATTCAGGACAGCTGTCATTCAGGACTACCCCATGTTGACAAACACACAATTCAGCTTGCTTCTTTGCTGGATGTCAATTTTCGATGGACTGCACAGGAGTTAGCTGCTGAGGTAGGCGTATGTCACAAAATCATGCTCCACATTCTGCACAATATTCTTGGATACTGCAAAATTGCAGTGTGTTGGGTACCCCATACAATGTCTGAGGTGCAACAATGGCAACGTTATGCAATTACATAGGACTTGTTGGACTGGTACCAGAGGGAAGGTGATGACTTCCTTGGAAGGATCGTCACTCTGGACGAAACTTGGGCTCGCTCATACGAACCGCACTTGAAGCAACAATCAAATGAATGGAAGCATCCTGGCTCTCCTAGTCCAAAGAAAGTGCGCCCTACACAGAGTAATGTGAAGGGGATGGTCATTGTGGCACAAGACACTGATGGAGTGATATTGCATCACACTGTACCTCAACGACAGACAGGAAACGCTGCCTACTACTGCAGTTTCCTGCGTAATCATCTTCATCCAGCACTCAGGAGAAAGCGACAACACTTGTCAATGAACCCCATCATCCTTCATGACAATGCAAGGGCTCATACTGCTGACGCTGTCAAGGATCTCCTTTGCTGCTGGCGATGGGAGATACTGCAATATCCGCCATACTCACCCGATATGAGTCCGTGTGATTATGATATCTTTGCCAAAATGAAAGAACCACTGCGAGGGACACGTTACAACACAAGAGAGGAGATTATTTGTGCTGTAGGGCGGTCACTGCTGGACATCAACAGAAGTGGATGCGCTGATGGTGTATGATGCCTTCCACAAATTTGGCAGAAGGTGGTACACATGGGCGATTATATTGAAGGAATGTGTGTTTACCTCAGGAAATGAAGTAATTTCAGAATTATAGAGGTGTTGCCACTACTTTTTACCTGACCTATGTACATACATGATCTGTCATTCAAGTGAGATTATGATCATTACTGCAACAGTTTGAGAGGCTGCAGTGTTGGTAATGCTGATGGGCAGGTTCTATAAAGTATGCCGTTGAGACAGTTTCATGTGGCATGGTATACTTCTCAAGTTTCATTAAGATTGGTACAGGCATTCAAGCAGTATTAAGGTTTTGCGTCAGCAGTTTGAGAGGCTATAATGTAGGTGTTACTGATGGGAGGATTTTATGACGTGTGCAGTTGAGATGAACACAGGTATCAAGATATACGAGGGGGGACCCAAAAATAACTGGAACTGACCTGTTGCGCGCGCATGCTTTGTAGTTACGAATTGGGCTGCTAGGTGGTGTTAGCTGGGGGTCTCCCGCGACTGTTACTGAGCTGGCGTCAGTCTGAGTTAAGTGGTTTGTCTGTGGTGCTCTGTTATGTGCGTTCCTGTTTCAACCCTTTGGCGATTAGTGAGATGGCCGACCAGAAGGAACAAAGAGTGTGCGTGAAATTTTGCTTTCTGTTAGGGAAAACTGCAGCCGAGACTGTTGGGATGCTTCGGCAAGCCTTTAATGATGATGCT